TAAAATAATATTACCTGATGTACTTTAGCTTTTTACTGAACTCAGTTTCTTTGTTGAATCTGATAGCAGTTAAAATTAATAATCAGCGTCAATTTAACTACTAACATGTACTTAATTTTCTTGTGTTAGGCATTTGCAGGTCCTAATTACCACTTAATTTACAAGAGAAGGTTTAAAACCGCGTGTTGCAGAAAGACACAAAAAATCCTTCTATACTTCCTCATAATCCTTTTTTTCTCAGGAATAAGGTAATAATCAATATGTGGTTTTTAGTAATCTATTACTGCAAAACTTAACTATTGAACTTAACTGCTACTATAATAGCTGAACAATAATTAACTTTATTTAACTACAACTATAATAATTGTGCATAATTTGAAATATTGAATAATTTGAAATAATAAGCATAGTAATCAATATTTTCTGTAAAGAAAAAAAAAATTAAAAGGCAGAAACATTTTGATCGATTAGTATTGCATTCAACGCGAACTGTTATATTTCAGAAGAAAATCATAAGAAAGACGTCCGAAATTGCGCCAGGCATGTGATCTGGACATTACCTGGGCGCTGGCAACCCTCCAGCTCGGAAGGTGTAAGGGAGGGACGCAATCCGGGGACCCACCAGCGATTTCTCTCACGTGCCATTGCCACCCAGGGAGGCTGAGGCACATAAATCAGCCCGCGGCACTGAACTGGGCAGATTAAATTATTGAGATTCACTAATTATAGAGCGAGGGCCCCACTACTCTAATGAAGTTGACCCCTCGGACCACACGCGCACTCTTTTCTTGCTCGAGAAGAAATTACAGAGGACGTCCCGGGCCCCTCGCTTTTGAGTAAAGTGTCTGTCGCGACCGCGATTGAGTTGCTTTTCGCGCGCCAAGTTTACCACCACTCTGCTGCCATCTTTCAATCAAAATGACTTGTGGTCGGTGTTTAAACGCTGATACCTGATTTTGTTTCATTTTAACTCATGTCTCCAGGTGTATATTTATTGTTTATTAAATGTCATGGAATTTTTTGCTTGCAAATTAAATATCTACGAAGTGACGTAACCCGTTTTTTCATGATTGAATCATGACAGTTTATATCACGCCCTAAGTATTCGTTTTTTTGCATTTAAAATAAATGGATGACAAGTTTAGCTTTTCAAACTATGTAATACTTTGCATAGTTGTGAAATGATAGCTGTTTAAACTTTGTTATTTGATTCTGTCTCATTTAAATCGATGTTTATTGATGTATATTTATTATACTCTATATTTCATGGGATGTTTTCCCATAGGAAATTAACAGTTATAAGGAAATTTAATCACTTCTCACACTGCATTTGAAATTCATCTGGTAGTTTATATGAAGTTTAATTTATTCTTTCTCTGCTTTTTTCAGATAAATGAATTAATATAGAAAGCTTTGGAATATATTTTAAATTTTTTAAGATGATCTAATTATGTATGGAAGTATGAAATAATAATAAAAAGGTGCTTTCAGGATTATTATTAAAGGCCGAAGAGGACAGAACATAAAACGCCTTTTTTTATAGTATAGTATAATATGTACTTTGCTCATTGTCAAGTGACTCCCAAAAATGTTAGGATACATTGGATTCTGCTTAAAAGTAATACGATAGATATTAAAACTGAGTATTTTTTTAACTGTATTTTTAAAATAATAATTTTATTGTAATCTTTACAAAACAATGCATAACTTTTATAAGAATAATAATTTTACATTTTTAAAAAATTTTTAAAAATAGCATATTAAAAACATTTACAGTTCACAAAAGTCTTGCCTCTTTGAGGTGCTAATAAAAGAGGAAATATTAAACTTCTAAAACTTTCAATAGCTTTTAGGCTATCCTCTTGTTTTGATTACATATTTCAACCGCTTCTGCATTTGAACAAACTCATATTTTTCTAACTTCCGCATTCATATATCTAATAGAGTGGCACATATTGCATCGACCAGTATAAGATGGCAATCCTGCCAGAATGTGCGTGTGCATGCGTGGCATACCTACATCTACAGAGAACTACGAGTCGAGAAATTAGTACACCACTGATTGTTGGCCAGTTCATTTGCTGATTGTAGTTGTGGAAGCTTTCACTCTCTTTGGCAGACGCTCTCTTTTCTCAATCTTTTTGGCAGACGTTCAGCGACTACTGCGGCGGAGCCATGATCATCGCTAAAACTCTGGGCAAGACAACTGATGGATACAATTTGGTTCCAATAGAATAGTACAAAAGTAAGCGCAAAATATAGTTGTGTGCCAGCTTCTGGTAAGAGGGTCTATGCATATGGTTTGCGGTCATCAGTCGTCCACAAACAATTAGCAAAGACTCACTCTTCCAGATAACAGCAGAGGAAGTACAGGGTGGTCTTAGAAAAAACTTCCTCGATATATGGAACCTCTAGCGGTCTATCCACTAAATCAATCGAAATTAAATTTCAGATGCTGTAATTTGAAGGTATGCGCTCGAGCTTGGAATGATTTAAAACAACAGAGCTCTAGTTGTTGCAATTACAGTGAAACAATTTCGAAATTTTCAAATGGAAACACCTACTTTTTCCCGGCACATATTGATCAGTGCATTGAAAAACCATAAATAGCGTTGGAACCATACACATATAACAAAAATTGCCGGTGTAAAACATTTGCAAAGAAGCGTATTCTAAAGGACCAATGACAACACAGCGAGGAGGTGCGTTGACGCACTTTTCATAATCCATAGGGACAGAGAGCAGAAGCGCTAATCACAGAAAAGCACGTGCAAAACATTGCTTGTGGGAAACCTTTAATAAGCAAGGTGATAAGCTTGTTTCTTCAATCAGGTGTTCCAGCATGCTAACAAAATGGCACTTACAAGGAAACATCAAGGTGAATTGGTAAAGCTGTCTTATCTGAACGGCGAAAAAGTTTCCAAAGCAACACGAGTTTATCTGCGAAATCATAAGCTAAAATAAGCCCCATGTTCTGCAAAAATTGAGGTGACCTGGTAAAAACATTTGAAGAAACTGTATGCACATATGATAAACCGCAAACCGGACGGCCACGTGTGTCTCTGCTGAAATTTTTACAGAAGTGCACAATATGATTACTGTATGTCCATTTCATACTGCAAGAAGTGTTGCCCGCACTTTGTATGCACCGAATACCACAGTTCTGAAGCTTCTGTGCTCTGTTCTGTGGATGTTTCCTTATTCCAATGTGTTTAGACACTGCAAACTGGAGACTAGCAACAGCGTGCCGACTTTGTGAATTTTTTCCTCGATGGATATAATGAAGATAGCAGGTGGCCGCTGAGGATATTATGGACGGATTAAGAGCATTTCTCCTCAACTGGGAAAGTAAACTTCAAAAACTGCGTTCACGAAAATCCTCACGATGTGGCACCAGCGCCTTTACACGAAAGCTAAAGTGACACTGTAGTGCGGCATCGCGTTAGACTTCTTTGAAGAACAGGTATAAAAATATGCTTCATCACAAGTGCTCGGGATATAGTAGTGTTGCAGAATTACGTAATTCCAAACTACAGAAGCGAAATGTCGTTAATGATATTGTATGGATGCAAAATAGTGCTCTTTCATACGTCGCCATATGTGTTCAAGCAAGTGCTGCAACAGCACTTTGGAGATACAGTCATCTCCCGTAACTTTGCACGGCGATCCGTGGCCACCATGATCCCCCGATCTCACTAAGATGGATTTCTATTTCTGTGGCTTTCTGAAATCTAAGATGCACCCATCGAATCCGCGATATTTGTCAGAAATGAAAGAAGCCTTAAAAAGTGAAGTTATACAGACTCTTTCTGCGATGTTATATATGTCACTATTGTCAATAATCTTCCGCATGCTGTGCGTTATTGTGTGTGAAGGTGGGCACGTTGAAAACTTGCAATTCCAAAAAAGCATTTCCCCCCCCTCTGTCCTCTCTTGTGTTATCACTGGTCCTTTACTATGCTATTCTTTGCAAACGTTTTACGCCGGCAATTTTTGTCAGACATGCATCGTTCCAAAGCCATTTATGATTTTTCAATGCGCTGATCAATTTGCGCAGGAAAACAATTGGTGTTGCCATTCAAAAATTTCGAAACTGTAACCGTAATCGTGACAGCTCTACTGTTTTAAATCCTCTCAATCTTGAGCGCATACCTTTAAATAACAATATCTAAAATTTAATTTCGATTGATTGAGTGGATAGGCCGCTAGGTGCTCAGTATATCGGGGGGGGGAGTTCTTTTATGATTTCGCTGTAGTCCGCAGCTGTCAAATCCGAAAGGAAGAATCTCTAAATCAAACCGCTAAAGAGAGAAATCAAATAATTTATAAATGCCTGTACAGCCATACATATTTATAAATACCTGTACAGCCAGAGTACAGCCATATACCATTTGCACCATTCTGTTGGAACCATATTATATCCACCAAGTGTCTTATCGGCAGTCCTGGTAATCTTAATTATTCCGCAGCAAAATCCAAACAGCATTTGTCGAAGAGCCTGTTTAAGTGATGACTTCCACAGCCACAGTCCAAAAGGCAGGACTGAATCGAAAGTAATCGCTAAATATGCGGCACTTTATATTATTCCATACTTTAATTATCACTTGTTTTACTTCAGCTTTTGATGAAATGTAGTTTTCTTAATCCTCTCCAATTCTTTCTAAATATATCTTATAGATTTCAAATGCAGAATTTGACAAGGTATTGAAAGTTTGAATTAATTCTCGCTGCTGACGCAGGATAGTAGTTGTACTAATGCAGTATAGCGGACAGCGACGCATCACGCATTTAATACCAGAAACATTAATCTTTCAGATCTGCGTATGACTTTTGTGAGAAAGAACATACCTATTTAGTATCTTGACATGTTGGGTTTTTGTACCCGACATGTTTAACATATGCGGAACAGCATCTGTTGCGGGAAGTGCTATTCTTCTGCTTTTATCTCGAGAAATCTGCTATTGAAAGTCATCCTCTGCTAGTAGAAGTGTATGGAGAGCATGCTCTGTCAGAAAGGTGCAGCCAAAAAATATCCTAGTCAGCCGAAGAAGTTTGGTGAGGGGCAGTTAGAGGCATTACTGGCAGAAAATTCATCTCAGACGCTTATACAGTTGTCTGAAACGCTAAATGTGAATGCATCAACTGTTGACTGAAATGTGAAAATGTGAATGCGTCAACATCAAACTGAAATGTGAATGCGTCAACATCAAAATCGGATATTTATCGCAAGAAGATTATGCTGTGCATTTGTCGGTGTGATGTATCATAAGCTACTGCATCCGTATCAAAGGGTATGTGCTGAACGCTAAGAAGCACAATTATTCAATTTGAATCGTGCACTTAAACGCCTGCAATATGCCCAGAGACATATCAAAGTAATTCTGCTTCATGACAGTGCAAAACGACATATTGCAAATCTAGTGAAGGAAACCTCGCAAGGTCTTCGATGGAATATCTTACCTCACACGCCATGTTCATCAGACACCGCCCTCTTCCGATTACCATTTGTTTCGGTCCATGCAGTATGGCCTTTCTGAATAACATTTCACAGCTTTTAACGACCTCGAAAACTGGCTTTATGAGGATCACCTCAAAAGAACCTGATTTTTTTATGGTGGAATCCGTTTGTTAATCGAAAAGTGGGAAAAGATTGCGCGGATTTCATACTCCACAAAAAGCAGACTGCTGAAGGACACTACTTTCAGTAAACTATCTTGTACTATTCTATTAAAATAAATATGTGTTTTCTGTCCAACAAAGAGCGAGAATTTATTCAGGTGCCCTATATTAATCACTTCAGGATAACTGTAAAGTAATCAGAAGCGAACGTGCAGAGCCACATGCTTAAAATCTTCCTTTATTTATGTTATTTATTTGAACGAAATTTTAACTTGTTTCTTATATCTAATGTTTCTATGTTTATTTCTGAAATGTTCAGTCATTTTTAAATAATCTGTTACGATTTCAATAAACACTTATGCGAACATCTAACTACTTTTCCACAACTAAGGTCTATTGTTGGTAATAGTTCTTCGGATTTAACTTTTCTTCCTTTATTTGCCGAAAAAATAATGCAACCAAAAGGTAGTTATTAATCCTAAATAGTTAACTTTGTTCATGTTCACAAATCCTGACATGATCTTAGTACATTAAAAATCTATTTATTAGCGATTTTGCAATTAATAACATAAAATTTTTGTCATTCTTTATGAAAAATTTTCTTGAGGAATGAAAATGGTATCAAGCTAATCTAATTACTCATCTCACAATTTCAGGTAAAACTCGTATCTATTTCTTGTATTTTATTAATCATGCGTTACTATTTGCATTAAATCAAATTGAATTTTTTTTTGTACGAAATGAAAATTTTACTTTAATGATTTTTTTACAGCTACTAGATTATGATTCTAAAGTAATAAGAAACTTCATAAGAATATTAATAACGTAGTTTTAAATTTTGAGAACTTATAAAATTACTCATGTGAAAATTCTTTCGGCATGTCAAATGTAACATAATTTCAAAACAGACGCTAGTAAATTACAAAAGAATACAATTCAATAGAATTTAAGAGGGGAAGTGTGTAAGTTGCGAAAATGTTGGGCATTTATCTTGTCACTATGCTCAAATATAGCAATGACTAATTTAAATGCAATTAAATTGTTTTGCCTGAAATATTCGAAGTGAACATTTATTCCATAGAGGTAGTGCTGTTTGCACTGGCACACTGGTGCTATACAGTTTGACTCTAATATAATTCTTATTAGGGAGAATATTATTGGAAGAGTCCAAATTTTTATTCTACAGAAATTAAAGATACTCATAATTGGAGGAAAAGGGGGAGAGAGAAAAAAGATGAAAAGAAAACTTTTCTTTTAAAAATACTACGTCTAACTAACTTATGAAACGTGACAGTAGTCAGCATAAGAAAATGCATTTTTATTTATATTCAATATTGTTTGTAATATATTGAATTCTTAATAGTTATTATAGATAAAATATTTTTAACGATCATATCTTTTACTATTTTTCTGCAGGCAGTTCGGGGCAGTCTCCAGACAGACTGTAAATGCCATGGTGTGTCCGGTTCATGTAACATTAAAACTTGCTGGAAGGCTTTACCAAGGCTATTTGACATAGGAGAACGTCTAAAAAGGAAATATTCTATTGCCACGGAAGTCGTACAACGCCAGATCGGATCACGACGTAAATTAATGCCGGCAAATGGTAAACTTTCTATGTATCAGAAAAACGATTTGATTTTTGTGGCTAAATCTCCAGATTATTGCCTCAGAGATGATAGAGTAGGATCTCTAGGAACACATGGCAGGTGAGATGTTTCACCATTATCCAACTTCCTGTTAAACAAACATTGCTATAACCACATTCTTTTGCAAGGGAAAAAAAAAAAAAAAAACCTTTATAAAATAATCTGATCATCTCGAAGTTTTGTATGCAAATTCCCTTATACCAAGTATACAAATAGTTATATTTTCAGGGGCAAAGAGTGTTAACTTCGGTCATACTTTGAGCGTTTCTACTGCGCAACTAGCATATAAAATAGATAATTTCGGGCAGTTTATCTTTTCTCGTTACCGTTACGACATTGTCGAAGACTTTATAGATATTTGGATACTTTGGAACATTTGGAACGTGCTCGCATATGAGAGATGTGCGAAGCAAGGCTGTTTATACTGAGCAACAGGTCGCCATCAGTACCGTACGGACACGGCTGTGCAAAGGTACTGGCAATAATAATTGCTTCAAGGTACTCTCGGCGGAAAGATGCAAGGCAAGATCGGATGCTTGTGCGACAGTCCCGAAGTGCTCCAATAGTATCATTGTCTGCTGTCCAATATGCTTCAATCTTTTCTATACCACCCGCGGTACCTTTTACCATCTCACGGCGCTTGCCTGAGACGGGAGTTCGCTCACAGCGGCCTTTAACAACATCCACAGAGTCATCTGGAATGGTGTTGTAGCCGATTCGCTTTTCTTAAATATTTAGCGATGAATCCCACTTTCAGTCTTGTAGCAGATGACTGTCGGGCCGCGTGTAGAGCCAGGGCCAGCACTCCCAATCAGGTTTTGTTTTACAGAGGCACACAGCCGTTACCTCTGGTGGATGGTGAGGGACGACAGCAGGTCGATCCTTGTTATCCTGCATACAACGTTAACAACAGCTTAAACGATATGTTGATGACATCTTACGGGCGTTTGCGTTACCTTTCATGGCACGCCATCCTGGAACTATTTTTCAACAGAATAATGCCAGACCTCCTATGATTAGTCTATCGCTGAACTGTCTCCGAGCTGTTGATGCTCTACCTTGGCCAGTAAGATCACAAGATCTTTCGCCGACCGAACATGTATGGGATACAATAGGGCACCATATTCGGGCATCTCAAAGTATCTCAGATCCGAAGCAACAATTGAGGAATGCCTAGCAGAAAGTATCGCAGGATGAGATTAGGAATCTTTATCATTCCCTGCCTCAACGTTTACAAGCATGCTAGTAATCGGGGGTTTCACCAATTACTGATTTGAACATTCAGTGTGCAGGAGCTACTACTGATGGGTCCTACAGCCTCGAATATTAAACGTTTCCTTACCAGTGCCTGTGTATGAGCTTGACGCATATTTAATTCCAATATTTTCTTTTTTAACAGAAGCACAAACAAAATTGATTTCAGTCATATTTACAGAATGCTCCGCATTTTCTGATAAGTATCTTGAAGGAGGATAGTGTTATGAAATATGCGATTATACCGCACAATCCGTGATGTCTTGTCACTTTCATTTAGAATAGAATAGCACTTAAATTTTCATAAAATCATGTTTTCCTTTGCAAAGTAAGCTTGATGTATGATTTCTTCGTGGTATCGGAATCGAATTTTTCAAGAATGCTTCCACTTCTTTAATACTTTTTAAACACAGTGCCACTGCAGAAGATCGAAGGTAAACCTTCCTCTCAGGCCATTTCTGCATTTATTCTAAACGGAATTCACAGGAGGTTCCTCTAAGCTAAGGGCATAATCGACGCAGCTCCAAAACTAGTTTTTTTCTTCACAGTGGAGCGCGTTGAAAACTTTGAACTTCACATACAGTGAAACTTGTCGACACATATAACTAACTCCATTAGCACAGATACATCCCAGTGTGAATGGCCCTTAACAGTAGCCCATTGTTCCAACACATTTCTAAGAATGCTTTTCCCTTCTCCTTCTCATCCTTTTTTATTTTAGTTATAACGTTCTTGATCTACAAAAGACATTTTCTATTCGTTTGTTTCATCAAAACTAAATTTGTTCCAAAAATTAAAAGGATGCTATATAGAACGAAGCAAAATTGTGGAAAAAATATATAATGTCAACATTTAGATGAAATTCATATTTTGAAGCTTCTTTAATTCCGGAATTAAAGTTAGCTATCTTAGCTATTTCATTAACACTTTGTGAGGGAATCCTTAAAGGTTATAAATGGAAAAACAAGGAAATGTATCTTTAATTCTTATTACCCCATAAATTTTCTAAATCAATTATTTTTTAGGGGATATTTTCCACGTGTTAACTTGTTCAGAAGCGATCACCTGACCTGCCAATAAAGGCTAACAGAGTTATGAATTACACTCTCGAGGTTTCTAAAATTAAATTTGCGATGAAATCTAGGAGCTGCTAAATTTGGAATATTCCACCACTCAACCATTTGATATCCATTTAAATGTTCCTCCAGTTCAAAAATCATACACCTTATAATAATTTTTCTACTAAGGCTTACAGTGGCCGCACCAGAAGTATGAAAATTACCAGAACCAGTCAAAATCATTGCATTTTCTTCTTATACCCTAACTGTATCGTAGCCTTTTGTTCCAGATAAAGGAAGAGATAGGTTTCTTAATGCTCGAGCTGTATAACATTTTGGACTCGGGATTTGTTCAAGCATTTCATAGTTTAATTATTAATAAATATTTCTATGAGTCTAATAACAGCAACCATGTTACTTGTATATTTGTTGAATATTATTATTTCATTTAAAAAAAATTGCTGTAACTAATACATAATAACTTGTGTAATGTATCTGTAGATTTTTATGTACTTAGTAATATTCTAAATCAGTGTTTATTTTCTTTCCCAGACTTTGCAATATTACATCTCAAGGTACAGACAGTTGTGACTCCATGTGTTGCGGACGAGGCTACAGAGCTTTCACAATGGAAAAGCTGGATCGCTGTCAGTGCAAATACTACTGGTGTTGTTACGTAAAGTGCAAAACGTGTCGGACGTTGATTAATGCTCATGCATGCAATTAATATAAATTAATGCACCAAAAGTTGATTATTCTGAGAAGACAACATAAAAATGAATCATGTTGTAGCTATGTTAAAAGCAATTTAAAACGTATTTAACATGTTTGAAACTATTGCACCAAATATACTATACAGAGTGCAGAAACATTTGCTTGCTAAAAATCTTGACAGTTCAATGGAATAAACAAATCCTACAGATGATGCACAAGTATACATAAATTATTGATGGATAATTATTAATATTGGTGAACAATTTAGCCTACCTATGTTCAGAAGGTGGAAAGCTCGACAATAACCATGTAATATTAATAACTATAATAAGAATTCTTCAGTTAAATTTCAATTTGCTATCTTTATATTTATGCTAGTTTTTCACAACATTTTCTTCGTCGTGAAATTGATATGAGAAGTGAGAAATGCAAGGAAATCTCTCCTGCCCTGAAACTAAATTTCGCCAGTTTTACTAATTTAGATATAAATTAATAAAAAGTAATTGTACCAGTATAAAATTAAAATAAGAGAATCAAATGAATGATTTTCTAAACATTCTGTATAAAAAATACTAACATTTAGCTTTTTTTGAAAATGTGAATTATACAGAGCTGCTAAAACTGATAACAGCTGTGCACAGAAAAGAGGCTAAAAATGGCAGCATGAAATGTAAATCATCATAAGAAAGAATATTGGAGCTGCATAATACGGATGACCAATGACTTCATTTTTAGAAGAAAAATTTTAAGGCATGTAAATAAATAAAAAATAAAATAATAATAATAAAAAAACTTTGAATTCTCTTCCCTTTTTCCAACTTTGGTAGCAGTATTTAAGTTGCATATTAAACAATAAAAAGAAGATTATGAAATTCTGCATTTACTCTACTCATAAATGTTGAAGTTCTAAACAGAAAAGTTTGCACATACAGTTTTCAGCACAGTATAGAGAAGCTATAAAAAATAACAGATGTTTTCCTGTTTTATTAAAGAGAGAAACTATTAAATTTCTTACTGCAAAATCGGTCTCAGCGCTATTAGCTATATCAAATAACTTTTCAAGATCATCGTAAAGATCTTCACATGTAGGTTGATTCATAGTACATGTGAGGATATAACGGAATTTTGCTCTTTACTAAAAAAGTTTTCATACACACACACACATATACAGTCAAAAGTCGTTAATCCGGACTCGTCGGGACTTCGGCGATTCCGGATTATCGATTTTTTCGGATTATAGATCATCAGTTTAAATCTCGTAAGATGGCATGCAGAAATTATAAAATTAAAAATATGAAACCGTAATTTATGAAATAAAGAACAATTATGATCTAAAGGGTATCAAAATTTGCAAAAAGAAAAAGCTTAATATTTATTTGTTTACTTTATTAAACATTTCTTTCAATGTAAGTTGTTTAAGTTGCATTCGTTTCATGTATAATACTTCTCTTTAATTCTATTAAACAGACATAATTTCTTGTTCAGTTACAAAGTTCCGCGTTCAAGTCCTATAATTGCTGTGTCAAGATACCGACTAATTTGTCAATCGAAATTTTTTTGTTTTCAATAACCTCTGTCACTTTTCTTCGCTATCGGAAGCGAATTATAATGACGAGGAATTGTTTTAAATCCTATCAAAGACTAAGCATATCGAGATGAAATACTACATTTGGTAAGGAATTATAAGCCAAATAAAATAAAAACATCTGCCCTGAAGATAAGGATAGTGCAATCACTTCAATTCATTACGCCCCCGCCGCCGAGCAGCGTGAAATGATAACAGATTTCGGATTTCAAAACATACTTTTCGCTTAGATCCTTACATATTAAAAATATATATCGGAAATTCTTTTGATATATCGAAAGTTTAAGCTTACTTTTATAAATTGCTCTTACAGTCTGCAAAAATAATAAGCCGGAGCAATCGAAAATAAGAACAACGCATCATCAACATAACTGAAATAGATAATTATTTAGCGATACGTCCATTATACATAAAATGCGCCGGCGAAACGTATTCTGCAACTTGCGCACACTCATATGCGCAGTCGTAAAGGTCTTCCGCGCACGCTGAACGCCTCTGCGCATGTGTCAGCGGCGCATCGCAGAAAGTTTTTAGTTTTGATGTCCGGATTATAGATCATTCCGAATTATGGGTGTCCGAATGAACGACTTTTGACTGTATATATATGTAATAAAAGTCCATAAAAGTCATGACACAGCTTTTGTGTCCCAAATCGTTGTCATTGCTATTGATTCTCTTTTGAAGACAAGGGACCAATGTCTGACCTTCCTCAAAATCGAGTTTTATTCAAAATCTACAGTCTAAAGTTCCTTTTTTTTGCCTAATTTTAAATTTTGCGTTGGCATGCTTCTTTTCTAATTTAGTTTAAAGAAAACACTTTTTTATAAATTTTATACTCATATTAAAAAATAAAACACAAAATGCTTAACTCCACAAAAAAAAAAAAAAAAAAAAAAATTGAACGAGACATTAAAGTTTGCAAAATATGAAAGCGACCTCTTAGTGGCTGAGCGGTTAAGACTGTTAAATACTGGTGTTTTGACCGCAGTTCAAATGGGTTAACTGTATGACTGATTTTCAGGTCTTCCCAAACACAAATTCTTAAAAATTCCTCCCCTTTTGCAGATAGTTCACGTGCTTAACCATACTCAAAAGAGCCTAACTTAACTTAAAAACAACAGTATCATGAATTTTTAGTAAACATCTTCGCAGTACAACAAGAGTACACTGTTCGTTTCTATATTATTTTCTCGACAGCATTCATGTACATTTGTAATATGTTACAGACTTTCCAGAAATTTGATTTGCGTTTGAAAATTGCTTTTTAAAGTAACTCCACAGGAAACAGTTTGCAATGAGAAGTTTCAGCCGTAGATGGTATTCATTTCTGATAAAGAATATAATTCATATCTCCAACTTTAGTGTATTTTAGAAAAGTTGTGATGAGACTTTTCTTTTACCTAGGTAAAATCTTTGCACTTCTTTAACTATGTAATGCAACTACGTAAAACAGAATCTTATACTGAAACAATTGTAATTGTTTCTTTCAGCTTAGTCTGCCCTTGTGACAATGTGTCAGGCTGTATCATGGTACTACATGAGCAAATTTTGATAACTGCTACGTCTTCTCCCATGCATATGAATTTTGTATTCCATATCTGTGCATAAAATCATCAGAAATATACATGATCCAGTTTGCATTTGCCACTGCATGGCTTTTCGCACGGAGGAAGCACAAAAAATGTGAGGGCTGTCTGCACCACAGGAGCTTTTGAATGGCCACTGTTATCAGATATAGACAAATTGTTTTTATCAACTTTTTATAATTCGAAGTGGTTTATGTACTAACGTCCATTGATTGACTAATATCAACTGCCTGTCAATTTATCTTTGAGGTAAGAGGTTCCTACAGCGGAATCCAACATTCAAGAAAGCTTTCCTTTTCCTTTGGCAGGGGGGAGGGATTCCAATACAGGATTTAGATGAAATTTCATCTCTCAATATTATTTTGACATCTTTTTCTGAATTTTGAAAGTTTTTTTAAAGGCACACTTCAAAAATTCTGTTTATTAAAAGTTGCAAAATTTCTTGCACTGCGTTTATTCTGAAGTTAAAAAATGGCTCATTTGAAAACTGAGATTTCTACTACATTCTTATTCTTGAAAATGTGCTGTAGCTTGAATTCAGTCACATGTATTAGTGATTCATCTTACATGGAAGATTACGTTCTTGAAGAACAGTTATGACTTCTGGTAGCTTTTTTGGAATTGATTATATATCTATATTTCCAAGATTATATTTTTAGAAAATCAGCCACAGAAATTTATTACTTGAAAAATATGAAAAACGCTACTTTCCCTTTTCTCCAACAATCATTTTAGAAAAATAAAGCAACAATGGATGAAGCTAATACAAATTAATAAACTTCAAATTTCAAAATGGTGTTTATTACAAAATATTAATAACCACTCATATTCAACTGTCAGATTCACATTTGAAAAACTAAATATCTTTTGTGAACTCTATTAAAATAGCTTATAGTAGGAACTATAAGTTGTTATGGAATCATTCATATTCTTAAGAAATTCTGCACAAAGAAATACTATGAAGACTGTTTTATGCCGACTGGTAAACTTTCTAGTCTCAATTGAAACTTTGTGCTGCAATGTGGTGCATTAAATAAATATGTTTAGAGACAGTACTCTTATTTGAATGTTTGATTATTTGTGATCATGTCATTGTGCTATTGTAAATGTCAGTTTCAGCTCAACTTCTAGTGCTGTTCCATTCTTCATATTTGTTAAAAAGCAATAAATATTCATGATTTATCTATAAAATATGTTTTATTTCACACAGTTATAAATGTAAGTAATCAGTGTATTTACATCCATTGAGTTAACATGAATTATATTTAAAGGATGTCTCAAACTGCAATACAAACTTTGAGGGAAGTTACAGAACATCAGTATAAAACATACTCACATAGCATGACTAGACATGCTGCCCATAGAAGATAAAAGGGACACAATAACACAATACAGAAGGCAGTGTAAAATGCTTTATTATGTAAAGATAATTTTGAATATATCTAGAGATATATTCAAAATTATTTTCTGCGCATCGCTATATTGTTGACAACGATATAGCTTAGTGTTTCAACCGGCGATACTACATTTCCGCCAAAAGTTTGCAAACACTGCAATTCATGTGTAAGCAGTTCTCAACCTTTTCACTAATGTGCACCACCTACACAAAAACTAAAAACCCTTAGAACCACCACTACAAAGTACTACTCCCACCACCACTCTTGAACAAAGCTCAGATCACATAAATTTATGAGCGTTAGAGAAAAATCTCAGTCAGGATGTTGGGGTTTTAATTTATGAATTTAATAGTTAA